CCCCAAAACCCCAAAACCCCATAATAGATGTTGAGACTTAATATTAAAGAAATTAACTTAAGATCTCATTTTTTATTATGAAAATTTAAATATCAGATTTAGCCTCATAATAATATCTAATCTTTCAGTACTTCGCTACAAATATTTAAGCTGGCATTATCATTTTAATTTTCCACTAATCCCTTTTATGTCAGAGCCGGTTTTCTGTAAAGTTTTTCCCGTTTTTCTATTAAGCAACTCTGAGTTCTCTCTTTCCATCTTATCACGATATTTAAAGTGCAACTTTACAGGATTATCTTGCTAGTATTTTTCAAGGTCCTCAAAGTACTATTCATCATATTCACTCCAATTTAGGAGATCTGGTGGATCAAGTTAAGTAACCTTTTCACTCTCTTTATTCATAGTACTCTGCTTGTTGTCCTTACCTCCTCTAATATTTGATGGTGTTGTTGACGCACCTCCACCTTCATTTTATTGTGAGTCATAGCCATCTTTAGCTTGACGTTGTTAATACATTTCTAATACCTCATCACAAACTTTCTCAATGCATCCTAGATACTGTAACATATTACTCTCAGTAACACACTTGGAACCTATTAGTTCTGGTACATCATCAGGTTATATCTTTATTTTATCGAAGATTGACTAAATACCTATTTTCAAGCAATTAATTGTTTTCATTGTATTTTAGTAATCTGTCTCAATATCTTTGAGCTCCTTCTCAGTACTTTTAAGCTCATTGTTCAAGGTTGATTCGATATTATCTCTATTTTTCTCATTATTCACCCCATGACCTCTAAATTTCTCTATTTCTTATCTGATTCCCATAATTTCATTTTCTAAATCATCCATTTCGTGAGTGAGATCTTTGACAAAGTTATAGAGTGAGAAGTTCAGATTCTCTGCATTGACAAACTCACTAACCAGCTAGTCAATATTATTTAAATTGGTGCCTAATTTTATACTATTGAAAGCCTCCTCATATTGTTGCATCTTTGCCATTGATAAATGAACATTAGCTGTATCTCTGGCAATAGACCATCCGAGCTAGGAAACTTATTTCTTCAGAGACTTTTCAGTATTTGTCAGTTCATTTAAGTTGTCATGTCTTTGGGTCTTGATATCATGCTTGGAATCTCCCATCATACTTTGATTTTTAAGAGTATTGTTTGCTTGTTATTAAGCAGCCTTACTTTCTTCTTTGGTCTTAATATAGTCTCTGATCTATTTGTCTTTCTGTATGAGTAGATTAAGCTTTTCACATTCCCTATCATACTCTTCCTAATCTCTTTATTATTCCTTCTTTAAAAGCTAAATATCATTCAAGGCCTACTCTTTCTGACTAAAAGCATTTTCTGCTCTTTTAATGACTTTTAAAAGCTTCTCTTTTTTCTGAGCTAGTTCAGAATCTAGCTTTTTATATATATTGTCAAAAACTACTTTTTCTTTTCGAACTGAATCTATCTCTGCACGAAGCATTTTATTATGTGCCACTGCTTGATTGAACTTTTGAAGCTACTTGTCTAAACGGTTTTCTATTGACTTGATTTTACGGCTCATATCTTCTGTCGATTCTCTCTAGCCATGACTGTCTTTTATCATTTTTCTTGATTATTCAATCCTAATCTATACATCTTTTATTTTATTATTGATCTCGTTGATCTTTATCTACTCCTATTTTATCCTTTGCGCATAGTTATCACCATACTTTTATAGTATAGCTACTCTACTTCCCATGTTTCCATCTAGGTCTGTTGAAGCCTGTGGCTCTGAAGGATTATTTATATTTTTCTTGTCAGCCGTTTAATCCTCTTTAATTGATCTTTCCTTTTTCTACATTTTATTTCTAAACTATCAATTTTTCAAATTAATTATTGCCAAGTTAAATTTATTCCTATCTGCTGGGGTTTTGGGGTTTTGGGGTTTTGGGG